CTGTCTATGCATATATGGCAAATAAAAATCGTGAATCTTGATTTTTGAATCATGAATTATATTTTGGATTTTGTTAAAGGGTTTAATAAACATCTCAGTTCCAAAAAATTAAAATGTTCTGGCTATTTTTTTGATATGTTGGGCTTCTAACAGCTGCCTTTCTGCACATAGGCTACATGTAACTCTCTGGCCATGTTTGTCTGTCACCTCTGTCAGAAGCGACTGCGACAGACAAGTCAGATCACACATTTAACAGCAGAATCCTCGCCTGACTGACGTCTCCACTCTACTGCAACACAAACAGCACTGAAAGATTCTGCCAAAACTGCTATGAGTGGTTAGACAGAGTTGCTGCTGCAGCTCTAGTCTAACTGAATGATGAAGTACTGATCAGTGGCATTTTCAGACACACTAGATAATTGCCTTTGCTGCTCTCTTATCTAACAGAAGACCTGCTTCACCCTTTTCCATTTCATGTAAACCTAATGTCCGGTAACTGGCAACACAGCTAAAAAAGAGCAGGTAATACATTTTAGATATTTACATTTTGGAATAAAGAGTCCTCAGTGACCTCACTTGACGTATCTTCAACAGTTGCTGCGCTAGAAGAAAACTGCCAGAAGTGAAATGCAGTATGATTTTCTTAAATAACTTTCAAAATACTAATGATATTAGTGCGATTCCAAATGCTAGGGGCAGGTTTTCACAGTTAAGGAATATTATGAGGGTCAAGCGCAAGGAATATTGCTTTTAGGTGTAATGGCATTTTGGGGAAACTGATCTGCCTTGGCAGAGGCTTGCACTCTCTTGAGTGCCGTCTAGTTTGTTTTGTTCCGTTTGTACAGAAAAACGATGCATAGATCAACACCACTGTATTTATGACAACGCTAGCCCAAGTGGGTAATGCAGCCTCTCAGCCAGGTGTTAAATTACTCACTACAAAAAACAGCAAAACAACCAAATCAAAAAAGGAGCAGGCAGGTGAAATATAAACTAGCTTAAAAAAAAAAAAAGCTACAAACAGGCAGGTTTGTGGATAGAAATTTTTATAAACTAATAATCCCAAACTAAGAGCAAAAGGCTCTAGCAATTTAAATGTTATTATGCCCAGTGGTAATGATACTAGTTCACAAATGCTGCAGTTTCCATCTGAGGTGTCTACAGTAAACAACATTTTTTCAAACAGGAAAAATCCACCAGTAGAAAGAGTTTTCGATCAGGCTTATTATCACTTTGTGCTGTGGGTATGAAGGGTGGGGCGATTAAACAGCTGCAGATCTGCACATTTTCCCCAACTAGTTTCCAAGGCAACAAAGGATGCAGTAAAATGAATTTAAGTGATTTCCTGCCTTCGTACAATATTGTTAGATCTGACAGTGTTTCCATGAGGGATTGAAGCTGAAATGGGGAAGCAGAGAAGTGTGATCTACTCCTGTGACTGCAAGTTCACATGGCACTGACTCCTTTCACTCATACTGTTATATACTGTAACAGGTCTTACACGGGGAATTTAGACGGGGGGGGGGCTTGTCCTATAGGCTGCTCACCTGGGGCAGGGGTTCCAGCTGCTTCACTTTGGTCTTGGTCCTCTGCTCACTGAGGAAACACACAGAGCTGTGTGGAGATGAGCCGGGAGGTGGGAGATGCAGAGGTGAGGGCCGTAGCTGGACACCGGGAGAAGGCGTCGTCGGGCGGGCGAGGAAAACTAGGTTGGCCGGAGACTCAGAGAAGGTGAGTGTCTACACCGGAGCCAGACGGGCACCGACGACGAGGCTGGAGGCAGAGCACTCAGGTGGAAATACACCAGCAATGTGGCCACTGGAGCGCAGGAGGCAAAACAAAACCACAAGGAGTGGTCGACTTGTAAAGTCAGGAAAACAATTAAACAGTCTTACTTGAGCGAGGGAAAGAAAGCCAAGGTACTGGACGCCTCTCAGCGAATTGTAGCGAAGCCAAGAGTAGAGATGAGAACCTCAACATACTGGCAACAAGAGAGCGTTTGCCAGCACCTTAAGAAAGGGAGTGGGTAATTAGGTGATGTGCCTCAGCCGTGTCGCACCCTGGGAGCCGCTGATCCGGTGGATGTGCCCCAGCTGTGTACACCACTGGAGCCAGGACCTGTGAGAGAGAAAAAAAGAAAGAGAAACATGGGGAGAGGGGCAGGTGGTGCCTAGCAGAACTGACAGTTATATGTTTCAACAATGGCTGGTCTGGGAACCATTATGTGAGTTTTGGGTTTGTGATCCCAGCCTTTCACATTTCCCACAGGCTCAATGCCAGCAAAAGTGGAAATCAGGTTCACTGCTTTGTTGTCGTACCATCTGACAATGATGTTGTTGTCCTGGTTCATTTGACCCTCTTCCATTTTTCTTCATTTCTTTTTCCATCCATCATGGTGCAGTCTTTCCCCCTGTTCATCCGGATCGTGCCAGTGTAGTGGATTCCTCTTTCAGGTGTTGCACCAGGAAAACTGATGTAAAGTAGTTGTCCGCAAAGACCTTGTGATTTTTTTTCCTGCTGCAAGTGCTGTCATTTTCAGCACAACTTCTCCTATAACACCAACTTCAGACTTTTCTGTCTGGATTTTCTGCATCTTGACAAGCATTAAAGCCATAAAGAAAGCCACTTTGTCCAGCACATCCCCACATCTTGAAACCCCATTTATGAGGTTTTCCACATAGATGAGATTTTCCATTGAATGGCACCATAATTTCATCAACTGCATGGCATTCTTCAGGAGGTATGCAGAAGGACCCAGCATTATTAGCCATGAAGCTAAGGCCAGCGTAGGCCATGAAGAGGTGGGAATGAGACTCCTCCCTGAGAGGCACCTTCTTCACTGCAGCTTCAACAGTTTAGTGACCAAGTCCTGAGAACAGCCACAATGTTTAATACACAAGAGTACCATATTAATTCATACATGTAATCTAACACGTTTTTGAATACCTACGCCCAACATGGCTGCTGCTGTAGCAAAAATGGATCCAGCCGTAGCCATCCAGCGGATGTAGCAGCCAAGTTGGCCACAGTGGCTATTATCATTTTACTGCAAAAGGCAAAGTGCAATCTTGTCTCAAAGTACAGTAGTGAGAACGGTAGCGTGTCTAACCTTCGTAAAATATACCAGCGTTAATGCTATGAAGCTCAATTATTTGGCTCACACATGAACACGGAATCACTCAATCATATCACGTTTCTCAGTTATAGAAGGACCCAGTATTATAGCCATGTACCCTGGCAGCAGTGGTAAACAATAGTGATCATGCGGCGCTCACGTTGTAAACACAAACTATAATGAGAAAACATTCGACGTAGCAACCGCTGCCAGGCATGCGCATGCGCGTAAGCAAGCTTTCAGTAACTGGTCTGGACACTGACGTCACGATGATCAAAGGTGCTAAATCACAAGAGCTGCCATACTGCCTTACTGTCTCATTTATATCGAAAGATTGCAAAAGAACTAAACTACCAGAGTTTACTGCAAGAAATGGAGAAGTCTGATGTTCTAGAGTGGATGATATCCATGTTTAAGAGCCTGACAGTAGAACAGGTGAGAAAGTTAACAGGAGATGAATGGAACACGCCTTTTCAGGTTGCCACTGAAGTTTTGATTGCAGACTTGGTCTTGGATATTCAAAACATGTTGACACATAAATGGATAATTGCAGAAATGAACAACGAGAACATCACCTTTGAACAGCTTCAACCCATTCTATCTGAAATACTCACTAAGAGTTTTTCTTATTTTATGGTCAAAAAGAAGCTAAGGGAATCACAGGCTGCCAGAATGTCAGACCTTGTATGCATTATTCATAAAGAAGCTGGAAGACTCCTACTATTATTACATTCGGACATGGAGGAGGAATCTAAGTCTGACCTAAGAATGTCAAACCTTGTACGCTTGATTCCTAAATGTACTAAAAGAGCCCCAAAACACTTACATCCATACTTGACGAAGGACTCTAAGTCATATATATTACGTCCTATGGTTCGGCCTAATGAACTAAATGAGATGATTCTCCATGCCTGTACTGTGTTAGAGGGGATATCACGGAGGACATACATGCTGTGCAGACCAGCCATTCCCAGGATAAGACCATTAATCTCCCTGAAAGAGGGTAACCTTGTGAAGAGAACTGAACTTATTGGAGAAATACTATGCAAAGCGGCGGAAGCCATCACAGAAACTCTTGTAAGAGATGTGCCAGACCATGAGTATGAGCAGCTACAGGTGGACTGTTATGGGAAGATTGAAGCTGTTGCTAAACACATCTCTCAGGTAACTGCTGAATATCAGAGTCAGAAACACTTTGTTGCTGCAAGACAAAACCCAAAAAACCCAGAGTGGCCCACAGTGACTGTGAAAAGTATTCAGGAGACTTGGTCTTGGATATTCAAAACATGTTGACACATAAATGGATAATTGCAGAAATGAACAACGAGAACATCACCTTTGAACAGCTTCAACCCGTTCTATCTGAAATATTTTATGGTCAAAAAGAAGCTAAGCGAATCACAGGCTACCAGAATGTCAGATCTTGTAGCTGGAAGACTCCTACTATTATTACGTTCGGACATGAAGGAGGAATCTAAGTCTGATTGGCATGATGAACTACATGAGATCGGCAATGATCTCATTGCCGGTTGGGTTAAGATGGTCATTAATTGTATACCTGGTATAGATGAGGGCCTAAGCGAATTTCTGGGTGCCGGCATATCAAACCTTGTACGCTTGATTCCTAAATGTGCTAAAAGAGCCCCAAAACATTTACATCCATACTTGATGAAGGACTCTAAGTCATATATATTTCGTCCTATGGTTTGGCCTAATGAACTAAATGAGATGATTATCCATGCCTGTACTGTGTTAGAGGGGATATCACGGAGGACATACATGCTGTGCAGACCAGCCATTCCCAGGATAAGACCATTAATCTCCCTGAAAGAGGGTAACCTTGTGAAGAGAACTGAACTTATTGGAGAAATACTAGGCAAAGCGGCGGAAGCCATCACAGAAACTCTTGTAAGAGATGTGCCAGACCATGAGTATGAGCAGCTACAGGTGGACTGTTATGGGAAGATTGAAGCTGTTGCTAAAGACATCTCTCAGGTAACTGCTGAATATCAGAGTCAGAAACACTTTGTTGCTGCAAGACAAAACCCAAAAAACCCAGAGTGGCCCACAGTGACTGTGAAAAGTATTCAGGAGACTTGGTCTTGGATATTCAAAACATGTTGACACATAAATGGATAATTGCAGAAATGAACAACGAGAACATCACCTTTGAACAGCTTCAACCCGTTCTATCTGAAATATTTTATGGTCAAAAAGAAGCTAAGCGAATCACAGGCTACCAGAATGTCAGATCTTGTAGCTGGAAGACTCCTACTATTATTACGTTCGGACATGAAGGAGGAATCTAAGTCTGATTGGCATGATGAACTACATGAGATCGGCAATGATCTCATTGCCGGTTGGGTTAAGATGGTCATTAATTGTATACCTGGTATAGATGAGGGCCTAAGCGAATTTCTGGGTGCCGGCATATCAAACCTTGTACGCTTGATTCCTAAATGTGCTAAAAGAGCCCCAAAACATTTACATCCATACTTGATGAAGGACTCTAAGTCATATATATTTCGTCCTATGGTTTGGCCTAATGAACTAAATGAGATGATTATCCATGCCTGTACTGTGTTAGAGGGGATATCACGGAGGACATACATGCTGTGCAGACCAGCCATTCCCAGGATAAGACCATTAATCTCCCTGAAAGAGGGTAACCTTGTGAAGAGAACTGAACTTATTGGAGAAATACTAGGCAAAGCGGCGGAAGCCATCACAGAAACTCTTGTAAGAGATGTGCCAGACCATGAGTATGAGCAGCTACAGGTGGACTGTTATGGGAAGATTGAAGCTGTTGCTAAAGACATCTCTCAGGTAACTGCTGAATATCAGAGTCAGAAACACTTTGTTGCTGCAAGACAAAACCCAAAAAACCCAGAGTGGCCCACAGTGACTGTGAAAAGTATTCAGGAGACTTGGTCTTGGATATTCAAAACATGTTGACACATAAATGGATAATTGCAGAAATGAACAACGAGAACATCACCTTTGAACAGCTTCAACCCGTTCTATCTGAAATATTTTATGGTCAAAAAGAAGCTAAGCGAATCACAGGCTACCAGAATGTCAGATCTTGTAGCTGGAAGACTCCTACTATTATTACGTTCGGACATGAAGGAGGAATCTAAGTCTGATTGGCATGATGAACTACATGAGATCGGCAATGATCTCATTGCCGGTTGGGTTAAGATGGTCATTAATTGTATACCTGGTATAGATGAGGGCCTAAGCGAATTTCTGGGTGCCGGCATATCAAACCTTGTACGCTTGATTCCTAAATGTGCTAAAAGAGCCCCAAAACATTTACATCCATACTTGATGAAGGACTCTAAGTCATATATATTTCGTCCTATGGTTTGGCCTAATGAACTAAATGAGATGATTATCCATGCCTGTACTGTGTTAGAGGGGATATCACGGAGGACATACATGCTGTGCAGACCAGCCATTCCCAGGATAAGACCATTAATCTCCCTGAAAGAGGGTAACCTTGTGAAGAGAACTGAACTTATTGGAGAAATACTAGGCAAAGCGGCGGAAGCCATCACAGAAACTCTTGTAAGAGATGTGCCAGACCATGAGTATGAGCAGCTACAGGTGGACTGTTATGGGAAGATTGAAGCTGTTGCTAAAGACATCTCTCAGGTAACTGCTGAATATCAGAGTCAGAAACACTTTGTTGCTGCAAGACAAAACCCAAAAAACCCAGAGTGGCCCACAGTGACTGTGAAAAGTATTCAGGAGACTTGGTCTTGGATATTCAAAACATGTTGACACATAAATGGATAATTGCAGAAATGAACAACGAGAACATCACCTTTGAACAGCTTCAACCCGTTCTATCTGAAATATTTTATGGTCAAAAAGAAGCTAAGCGAATCACAGGCTACCAGAATGTCAGATCTTGTAGCTGGAAGACTCCTACTATTATTACGTTCGGACATGAAGGAGGAATCTAAGTCTGATTGGCATGATGAACTACATGAGATCGGCAATGATCTCATTGCCGGTTGGGTTAAGATGGTCATTAATTGTATACCTGGTATAGATGAGGGCCTAAGCGAATTTCTGGGTGCCGGCATATCAAACCTTGTACGCTTGATTCCTAAATGTGCTAAAAGAGCCCCAAAACATTTACATCCATACTTGATGAAGGACTCTAAGTCATATATATTTCGTCCTATGGTTTGGCCTAATGAACTAAATGAGATGATTATCCATGCCTGTACTGTGTTAGAGGGGATATCACGGAGGACATACATGCTGTGCAGACCAGCCATTCCCAGGATAAGACCATTAATCTCCCTGAAAGAGGGTAACCTTGTGAAGAGAACTGAACTTATTGGAGAAATACTAGGCAAAGCGGCGGAAGCCATCACAGAAACTCTTGTAAGAGATGTGCCAGACCATGAGTATGAGCAGCTACAGGTGGACTGTTATGGGAAGATTGAAGCTGTTGCTAAAGACATCTCTCAGGTAACTGCTGAATATCAGAGTCAGAAACACTTTGTTGCTGCAAGACAAAACCCAAAAAACCCAGAGTGGCCCACAGTGACTGTGAAAAGTATTCAGGAGACTTGGTCTTGGATATTCAAAACATGTTGACACATAAATGGATAATTGCAGAAATGAACAACGAGAACATCACCTTTGAACAGCTTCAACCCGTTCTATCTGAAATATTTTATGGTCAAAAAGACACCTTGCCTAAGCATACCCTCAAAGTAAAACTGTAGATTCTCAGTACAATGTTGAGCAGCATGAACACCAGGTGCATTCTCCCATATGTTATTTGCAGGGGTGGAGCCCAGAACCTGAGGAGTATAACAACCTACCACAGCAGAGCCCTGAGGGACACACTAGCAACCCACAAGGCCCATATCTACAGATAGATCTGCTGAAACCATACAACATCACTGGTAAACATTCATGCAAGCCCTTTTGAACAACTACAGACTGAAATACTGCTTTGTATGTTGTGTAAAAATGAATTCCGTTAAATTGTGTACTGTATATCAGCAAAATAATTTAATACATTAAATCTCTCTACCCTTGTGTAGGTGTGTTAACCCAGGGTGGTGGTGTGTTTAGCACATTTGTGTCTAGTTTTTACATCCAGTTCAGCCACAACGGCAGGCAGTGGTACACTTACAAAGAACTTGTCACAGATGCCCGGCCCAGAGCCAAGGTCAGACTTTTAAGGATTTAACTTTGGGGGAGTTAACACCTTGAGAGCATGTGCGGTGGGTGGGCCAGCAACATGTGGCTTCATGTCATACAGCCACGTAACCTGTTTATATAGTGGGCATACACAACGGGGTCTCTTGCTGTTCCTTGAATTTGTTTGACAACATGCAGCATCAACCCTTGATGTGAGAAGTTGCCAGGTCTCATCAGGTCTCCAGTGAGACATTTTCGTAGGCACAGACATGCTCGGTGTGTATCCCTGGACAAAAAGCTGCTCTATTCACACGTGCACACAGATTTTGTATTATGGAGCTGGCAGGGTAAATTCTGTTTAATGTCCAGGCCAAATGATTCGGACATATGTGTTCACACATCCAGCTTCTCTGGGTGACGTCTAGGGTTGCAGTGCATGTCTAAAAGGGTTTTGGTGTCAGATACCAGGGGATACTGTCAGGGGTCGTGTGAGGTCCAGATGACTCAACAGGTCAGATGATGTGGCTGATCAGTGTATACTGGTCTGTTCCCTTTGTTCATTGCTAGACTGTTGGATGTGCTTATCTGTAGCTTTGTGCTTTCTGGAGCCTTTGGAGTTTTGCTCAGAAGAACTTCTGAAATATTAAAGGCCTTGTGATGTAACAGTTTTAAAACCAGTGCAGTATTCCAACAGATGTGGGCACTTTAAGTCAGCATTTTTGAAAAGTCACGGTTGACATAAAACTGGCTTCACAATCCTATCTTTACAACTTTCTCACCTGCACTGTTTATCTGAACCACAGGGGACTCTGCTGAGGTTGGCGGCGGCGGTAACCCTGGCGTGTTCATTTCGACACTTTATGCCAGAGTCAGCGTCTCTGTGATCTCATTCATACCCATCAGCTGACCTGCAGGAGTGGGAGCAGAGCACTGGTCAGACTGGAATACTCTCAGGTTAGATCCTGCTCATTTTCTCTCTCCCAGTAGCAAAAAACAAAAGAGTTATTAATGATACAACAATACATCACGGTGCTGCTTGGACAGTGTCAATGTGGGGACTCATTACAGTGCTGCAAAATAAAATGTATTATTTTCAGGATATCTACCAGCTACACACATGCAGAGTACTAAATATAGATGTGTGTCCTAAAACTACCATGGATTTCTGCATCACCACAGGCATTTCCTATTGTCCTGTATGATATTGATGTAATACTTTATACATCAATTACAAAATGTTGCTTAATGCAAATATTTGATGGGAAACTCAGAGCTGAGAGAGTAAATGCTGAACTTCTATCTGTCACGTGGCCAAAAACCCAACTCTACATGAACAATAATGTTGCTCTGTAACCGCTGGATGTGCAAATTAGCAAATGCTTGTTAACAAGTTTGCTATATCAAACTAGTGAAATTCACAGCTTGTTTCCCCTGCACCCAGTGGCCAAAGAAACAAATATGACCTGGTTTTATCACTGACTTCAAACTGTCCTTTTACCTGCAAGTCACATAAGTTAATCTGTGCTTACTGGCTTGAGTAAACAAACGAGACAAAAAAAAAGCATAGTGTGACACTGTGGGCAATACTCTTCAGATTCAGAAGTTCACTTTAGCCGTTTGAAAGCTCAGATAGCAGAGAGATGAACAACGGGGCACACGATGGAGCGCTGCTCTGAGCCTGATGTTATTATTTTAGTTCACATGGTGCTCAAAGATGAGGAAAACAGGATCAGTGGATGAACATGTCCAGTCATTCCCGATGGAGCAGATTGTGAGCGGCCATTCTAAGAAGCAGGTTAGCACAGGTGAGTTTGTCTGCGGCTAAAGACCTGGAGATGTAGTAAAGTGTTGATTAACAAGAAGAAGAGGAAGGAAGGGGGAGGCAATAGGAGTCATTAGAGAGTGTGTCTAATGTGTGTGTAATTTTATGTGTGTTAATGAAAGTTTGGAAACCTTCTCCCTTCTCCCATTGGGTTTAATGTGATGGTAGGAAGGCTTTCTGTTTTATACTCAGTATGAATTTCAGTTCTTTTTGTCACTCACCTTGCTCATTCTCTGTCAAGATGACAGGCCTCATCAGCTCCCCAACCGGTCGCTGGATCAACACAAAGAATTTCCTGGTGTTAGTGCTAAAAATGGAGAGAGACAAAAAAAAAAAATTGCAGCTTTAGGAATTATTATTCTGATTCAATAGTCACTACTGTTTTGTTCGTTTCCTCACTGCACAAATTCTGGTAGGATGGCATGACTGTGAGGTCAATCCACTACTTCACTTGAACTGTGCACACATGCAAAACTAGCATGTAAAACAAAATGAGTGCCATTTAAAATTGATGAGATAGTGCGTTTTTAGCAGCCCTTCTGTTTCTGTTTCCACCCAGCACAGTAGGACGGCTGCAAGGTGGTGACACAAGCAGTCTGCATTCCAACATGGAATCCATCTCACCATAGCCGGAAGTTTTCTGCTTGTTGAGTCACAGAAATCAAAAGCTGTGGCTGTCTCACCTCTCTGTCAGTCCCAGACTTTGGTCCACAGCTAAATCAATACTGGACAGATATACTCTATTTCTAATAACTTTGGTGTAGACATTAATGGTCCCCATGGCTGCCAGTATAGCTGTGGACAAGAAGAAGACAAGACAAGAGGTACTAACACCAGATGGTCAGATTGCTGTGATATTTGTTGTGCAAATTCCTTTTTATTTTTCAAGACCCTGTGGTCTTGCATTCAGCACCACACTTAGACTTTATCCAAATAGATGGTAAGGCTCTGCAATCAGATCATCAGTTTGCAGTTTATTCCATTCATCACATTCAGGCCTCTTTGGACCTATTCAGCCTGTCACTCACCAATCTTTGGGAACTCTTTGACCCTCATCCCAGACTGCAGCTTCGCCTCCTCCACGTGAAGCTTCTTGGTGTCAGAGGTGGTGTTAATGGTGAACTCCATCTACACAGCCACCGGGTTTGCATCAGGGCTGAACGGCTGTCGGCAAAGGAGGTTGTCGACATTTTGGCTTCTGCCTCAAACTCAGTCTCCAGACTCCGATTGGCTGCTTTCAGACTCGCTCTCCTCCTCGTCAGATTCAGATTCTGAGTTACTCTTCCTCTCATGTTTCCTTTGCTCTTCTTGACTGCTCTGCTCACTGGAGAACAAATCAAAGGTCAGAGGTGCCAATAGGATCCCAGAGTTAAAACACTAAACACAGAAGCATCTGCTACCTTTTGCTTTCCTGCACTGGCTTCTTAAATTCCTTTTTTCTTCTCGTCCTTCTCCTCTTTATCCTCCTCCTCTTCCTCAGACTCAGAGCCTGGAGCCCAGAGGTCTCTTCACTCTCTGATCCTGAGCCGCTCCCTTCAATACTGCAGCTGCCGCTGCAAATTCCTTTTTATTTTTCAAGACCCTGTGGCCTTGCATTCAGAGGGAGAGGAGGTCAGTTACTTTACACCAAGTTAAGTCGGGGGGGTGTTGCAACATGTAACCGACATGTATGGTGATTGGGGGGGCAGCAGAAAAGGTTTGGGAACCACTGCTTTAAAGGACATTGTCCTAGTTTTAATATTCACATTGACAAACATCTGTGGTGGACACTAAGGAGCCAGCATCCCCTGAAAGATACCACTGTCAGCGAGCTCTGTCGGCCCAGACTCACCCCCCTGAGTCCGAGTAGAACAGCTTCTCCACTTTCTTCTTCTTCCTCTTCTCTCGGCTGCTGCATTCGGTCCTTTCAGGCACCTAGCAAACAGTTCAAACAGCAAGACGTCAGCTCAATCTCATGAAAACCCCTCAGACAGAAGCAGAGATGTGGGCAGAATACAGTACAGTAGCAAGGTCTTGAATGACTCTGCGTGGGCGTGATGCAGCCAAACGAAGCCATCCATCCCTGCTGCAGATCTGCTTTTAGATCTGATATCAGACAACAGATTCACCTGAGCTTGTATGGAGTCTTTTTTCCCCCCCCCACAGATAGAGGTCAGCACCAGGTGATGCCTTCATGACCAGTTACAGAAATGGTTTTCTTTCTTTTAGTAAAAGGAGCAGGTCCATTAGGAGAAGCGATGTCTCTCAGGAGTGGTGACTATCTTCCCACATTAGAAAAGAGTCTCTCTATGACCAAACTCATTAAGTAGCTAATGAGTGTGATCATCTTCAAACCCACATGGCTGCTAATGCATCACCATGTGTCAAAAGACCACACCTACTAAAAGTATCGCTTCTTTAATGGTACAGTAGTGACTGAGGAAGAGGGTGTTGTGTTTCAGGTAGCTTTGGCTGAGCTAAGCACAGAACAGTAACAACATTAGGCAGGATGTCAAAAAGCACTTGGGCTTTTTGCGGCTATGTGGGTTGAAGCTCGAGGAGGTGTGGCTCTTTGCCACTAACTGACTCGCACTCGTTAATGTTGTGACTCTTTCAAGCAGCGCAAAAACCTGGCAGACGTAGAAAAGAAAAGATCGGGATGGAGGTGAGATGAGGAAAAAGGGAGGAAAGGTTTTTAGAAAAAAAAAAAAGTCAGGAAAGCATGACACACGGGCACATGAAGGTTTCTGGGTCTAAAAAATTACATTTGTCCAGATGCTTTTGGACATCACAGAGAAAAATAAAACCCCAATTTCATCACAGCATTCTTACAGTTATTTACCGTAATATCTGCCTATTATGCAACTATAACATACTTAATGTATAGGCTTAATTGTAAATACTGCAGAAATAAAAACTCAATATTAACATTTACTAATGTGCTGAGCAAATATATGACAATGCCTCTAGTGCGAGTATAGTCATCAGTAACGATCATGATGATGCACTAGTACTGATTAAGATGAAGCAAATGAAACAGGAGGAACAGGTGAGGGAACAATGTCATGGATTAAGGCACATTGCTCAGTATCACAACATTTGTGACACTGTGTGTCCAATTAGACCAGTTAGGTGCAAAAGATAGGAAACCTGGCCTGGTAACGAACCAGTTAAAAACACTCCACTTACTGTACCTGCTTGTTCAGGGGCTTTCAGGCTGTAAGACTAATCAAATCAAAGTGAGTCAAGTGGACATTGAGTGATGATTGTTTTGTCAACTGAGGTTTTCACAGTCAAGAATGAACTGTTGATCTCTACTTTTAAGCCAACATGGCAGAGGAGAGTGTTCAGAATAATGGAAGATCTGAACATCGACAGGTCCATGGCAACTGAGCCCATTTCAGATGCTGATGAAGCCCCTGAGACATGGTTGAAAGCCCCAGAACAGGGATGTACTGGAGGTGTATTTGAACATTCCAAAGCTCAGTTTTCTAATCCTTTTGACTAATTTTAGTAACAACTTGAATCTGATTTGTCTTTAATATTTAGGATTATTCTGCAGTTTTACAATTTTCCAAGTGAATACAATGATAAAAAAAATACTGTAAATGTACTGCCTTGCTTCAGTTAAGAGAATTAATAGCCATTCATTAATTCAGTGATAAAAGAAAAAAGGTCAGCAGTACAAGTCAAACTGGAGGAACAATAGAGTAGAATAGGATAAAAATAAACCTCAAGGACTTTGGTCCGAGTTGGATCTGTAGAACAAATGTAGAAACTCTTCAAGTAAGGCTCAAACATCCCCTGTGAATCATAAAGATCTGTCACGGCGGTGTGGAAACTACACCGCTCAAATGTTATTGAACCCAATTAAATAGCGAGTATAACCCGTAGTGAGTAAGGGTTTTTATTAAACAAGAGCAGACTGGGTGCGCGAGTGGCTGACTAGAGTGATTTTGTCTGTTTTTAGTGTGTAGCAGTCATTTCTGCAGCAATCCAGCAGAGGGCAGTGGCAGCGCTTCCTAGTTAGTTAAGAGAAACCAGACCACAGCAAGCTACGGCAGGAATCCAGGAAGGTCACGACACTGCAAAAGAGAAAAGATAACAAAACCTTGCTATTGAAGACTCTGCTGTTCCTGTAGGTTTCAACTGGATCTGCCACACAGATTTGAGAGCAGAGACAAGAAGATCCAGTCATCAGCAGAGTCACAGCCCTTGTAAAGGCAGGAAAGCACCTTCCATACAAAGCAAGACAGCAAGAAGAATGTGAAGTCCAACTAATATTGAGAGTAATGGATCAGTTGCTCGTAATCAGTGGGGTTCTATATAGGAAACAAATTAGCCAAGGAGAACCCTCCTACCAACTTGTCCCCCCAGTGAGCTACAGAACCAGCACTCGAGAGCCTCCATGATGCTGTTGGGCTTGGTCCATGCACAGTTCGGTTGGCCTTGTATGACCTTGGATGTGAATGAAAAGATACAGACCTGTGAGAGGTGTATCAGGATGAAGGCATGAGCTGAAAGAAGACTGATCATTTTACTAAATATGCAGTAGCAGTTCCTACACCAGATCAAAAGGAGAAGACCATGGTAAAAAACTCTTTTCCATTTGCACAGCGACCAGTGTTGTGATGTTGAATCAGCCTTGATCAAAGATCTGTGCTCACTGCTGGGGATTAAAAAGACAAGGACTACACTCTACCATCCATCCGCGTGGCAATCCCTGGAGCGATTCAACTGGACACTTGGTGAAATGCTGGGAACACTTGAGGAAGAAGACAAAATCAGATGGAAAGATTTTGTCCAGCCTCTAGTCCACGCATTCAGCTGCACCAAAAACAACACTACTGGTTTTTCCCCTTATTAATTACTGTTTGGCCGATACAGTGGAACACAGTACTGTTAATGTACAGCATTTTGATTTAATTTGAACTTTGAGCAACATTATTTCCAGATCTGGTGTTTTATTTCATAGAGATTAATTGAATATTACCCTGTTTAGGCAGTTTTTAAAAATCTGATCATTGGTGAGAGACCATGTGTTGGACAACCGCACACGGACATTCATCAGACGAGCAGAGGGTACGCAACAGAGAAGAGGAAGAGCATCTGATCCATCCAGAGGGCGGGTCAACTGTCATCTCTTCGTCACCCAGCAGCCATGTAGCTGTAGATGAAGACAAACAAGGGCTTGATGACACAAGTGTGAGGGGGAACGGGAAGTGAAGGCCCCCAGGATGCCAAAGATGGCCCCCACTATGACGCCTCCCAAGGAAACCATGGAGAAGCAAACCACACCGAGGAAGGCGTGCAC